TCCCAGAGCTTCGCAACACTGTTTCCTATGTCTCTTTGTTCTATTTCACCGATATCAGATTCTACCTTGAGAGAAAACAGGTCTTTTTCTATCGCGGTCTTGTGTTTTTTTGAAGTCAGTACGTGATGCGTGTTTTTGTCAAGAAGTACGGGTTGAAGATTGAGAATGTCTTGTCGAGTGGTGAAGGGAACGGTGGCGTGGTGCCATAATGTGAGTTGAGAATCCATGGGATTTTGCGGTAATTTCGGGCGAATCATCAACCCAATGGTTTTCTGATTCATGTTATAGTCGACTTGGAGCTTTACTGGTACTTGCAGAAGTTGATTGTCGTCGATACCAGCCATGTAATTCTGATGCTCGAAAGGTGCTACAAAACCAAACCGCCTCTGTATCCTATTGCCAAGTAGGACTTTAATAGTGCCTTCTTTTACGTTGTTGGCAGATTCCTGTGTTTTCGACTCAAGTTGAAGTTTTATAAGTGTTGGCGACTCCAAGGAATAAACGAACGGTAGGCCGTTTGTTTCTATCGGAAAGCTCACTGTTGATTCATAATTGTTGAATACAGTTGATTCCAATTTCTGGTTTTTCTTCCAGAAATCTTGCACTGTAATTCAATAATAGTTATAATTAATATCTTTAAAAGTAATATAATTTTAATAAAGTACAATTCAGAATACTCACGTTTGGAATAGCTGGGAACTGAATTACTCTCGAAGGGATAGAATATCAAATTGTACATCGTGTCAAGGTAAACGTTTCCTTCCAACTTGTTCAGGTATTCGGGCTTGATCTTAAGTGCTTGCGCAAGCTTCTCAACGCGCGATTTTTGCGGCGCTTCTTCTCTCCCGTTTCCTTCCTCCGAGTGCCAAAGTTTACCGACTAACTGCTGGATGTTCGATATTGTGTATCCTGTTCCCAGGGTAGGCTGCTGCACGAAATCGAAGATGGTATTCACACCAAAGTGTACAAGTGCAGGTAGTGGGCTATTGTCACTGCTGACGGTTCGCAGATAAAATCCCTTAACGATCCAGTTTTCAATGTCCTTATAGTAGCTTCGTGACATCGAGTTAGCACTCATCTTGGGATTCAATAGATGTGTGACAAGGCGCGCCTTGCTAGCGATGTTATGCAATTCCGATCGTTTCGTATTAGCGAGGCTCTGTAGCGTAGTCTTTACGGCAGAGTTCACTTGTTCGTTCTTATCGTAATGAGTGTATTTCGCTACGCGTTGCAATGTAATCAGAGGTGGATTGGTCAGGATAAATAGCTGTACCGCTATGCAACGTATTTTGTGATCCTCGAGCTCGTTCACGTAGAGCTTGTAGAAAATGGGCCCAACTAATTTCGGTTGGGTT